ATTGATCGCTGGAACTGAAAGTACAGAAACACAAAAATACATCGAAAGGAAAAAGGGATTATCATCAAATCACTGAGAGAGAGGATCAACACATATCCATAAATCATATGATGCAACGGCTTCCAAAATGATTGTTGGCTTTCCACTTCTTCCGGCATTTTGTCCATCCCATGCACTTGGATAATTTTTCCATTCCCAATGCATGCAGCCAATACTACCTATCATACTCGGGAATCCACGTTGATCTCCAAAGTAGAGTAGTCTTGCCAAGTCAGCTTCGTTAGGCTTTCTAAAGTACTCGTCACCAAAACATGAGATGACACTATCTACGAAGTGCATGAGAGCTTCCCTTGTTGTGGATCCACTCTTCTCAATAAGTGTCAACATCATCAACTGATACCCATATGCCAACATCCTCATGGACGCAGTACCTTTTTGCAATGGTGAAAGACTTTGTCTACCCGTGGCATCAGCTTTTTGCGGAAAATATTCATCATTAGCAGTAACACCATCCATTATATGACAAAATAAAGGTCTTTGCATTCAAAATCTTCTTCAGAAGATAACCTGGTCATATGTCGGATTGTCGATAAAATAGTCTTCCGACAAACATACTTCGCCCATCTCACGTTGCCTATCATGATACCTCCTACTTGCTCTTGGAGGTTGATCTCCTACGAACATATTGAATGAGTTTATGACCATATCCTCGATGATGTGATCAAGTTTTTGGTTTTGTTGAACAACTCGTGATCGTCATTCATCAACTGATTTTAGTGAAGAGTTTTCATTGTGAGACATTTTAGTGGATGCTTGAGGAAAACTGTATGTATAAATATTTGTTGAAAGACAAAAAATGTATAAGGCCTTATTGGGAGATAATGGCATGTGAACCTGAGTGAAAGAGACCTGTCATTATTGGGAGACAATGGCATGTGAACTAAGTGAAAGAGACAATGCATTATTGGGAGATAATGGCATGTGAATCTGAGTGAAAGAGACCTGTCATTATTGGGAGATAATGACATGTGAACTGAGTGAAAGAGACAACACATTATTTAGAGACAATAGCATGTGAACATGAGTGAAAGAGACCTATCATTATTGGGAGACAATGACATATGAATCGAGTGAAAGAGACAACACATTATTGGGAGATAATGGCATGTGAACCATTCATTTTAACATAAAAACAAACTTCAGATAGCACAATTGAAAAACAAGTTACAAACAAATACACGAAATAATAAATTACATATAGAGATTTCTAAATTGCAAATAAACCACTATTCATACAACATTTTCAAAAGACGTTCTTTCAACGCTTCCTCTCCCAGTGACGGGTGTTCTTTTGCCAAAATGATATGCATATTCTTGTGGTGTTATCGCTGATTCTTGTTGTGTTCTTTCTCTTTTTCAAATTCAAGTCTTTTGGTCATGATTTCAACCTCACTGTTCCTTGTGATGTTCAATGCACGAAATTCTTCAGAACAGTCAGGAGCTAAATAAGATTGTGATGCCTTACCTTTTCATTTTCTCTTTTCCGCATCTCTACCCATAGAATATTGAACTGTTGAACCACCAATAGTCGACAATTCTTGGTTGGTTTTGGCAGAATAATCTCCTTCTTCTGAAGTTCTTTATCTTTTTGTGCTTCCACCACTTTCTTTATTATCCACTTCATATTTAAGGCATGAACATGTCGTGTCAATTTCTAGCTGTAAATCCCACTTGGGATGTTTACACATCACTTCATTACAAGCAAGTCATTAAACTTGCTCTCATCCATCTCATAAATTGCATGAGCATCTTTCTCAACATCTTTCGTACTCATTCCACTCCTATTTTGTCGATATGTTTCTCTGTACACAACAATCCATTTGTTTGCACTTTCGTTAAGTCGTGCAAAATGACCTTTTATTTGATTCCCGTTCCTGATTTCCAGTCCTTCTGCATTCATAGACCTTTCATTATCGTGCTCCATTTGCTTACTTTTGAACATGATACAAGTTTTTTCTTCCAGGAGTTTTAGTTATATAACCTTCTACAAAACACACTTTTAACAATCTAACCTCCTTTTATTTTAATTTAATTTTACATGTTATTGTAACTTAAGCGAAGTTTATAACACATGTTATTGTCAATTATTATGTGATGCTTAATTATGAATAAATTAAGTTTTTAAAACGGCATTTTTAATTTCTTATATTACAGGATGTAATTGGTCTTCTCACATCACCCGACAAGGAATTACAATCGCCTTAGATGCAAGGACTTAGTAACATATATGATGATATTGATAGTGAAGAAGTTGAGATAATAATGTTGAGGGAATTGACAAGATAAATTGCTTTCAGGACGTTCAATCAAGTGGCACGATGATGTTGTTGGTGATGTTGATCCCCATGTACATGTGGGTGGACTACCCATGTTGAGCAGACCGTTGGAACTCCTGTTCAGATAAATAGTTCTTCTCCTAGTGACCCTTGTGATATTGGTAACATGAGAGGATTTAACATACCAAGTTCATCCAGACCATGTCAAACAGAGAGAGTGACTATAGACACTTCTTTTTTGGTCACCATACTAAAGAGGTACATAGATGCGAAATTTGAAACATTAGAAACCAATTTAGAGCATGCCATCAAAATCATTAGATCCAAGTCGGAAAAGGAAAAAAAGACAGTACATCTAAGTTGGAGTGCCACATAGATCAAAAGTTTGCATCATTGGATAATCGGAATCTTTTCTGAATTATAACTAGTTATGGATTGACCAATTAGGGTATAGGGTTGGGTTATGGTTAGGATGAAACTTATGGTGTGAAGGGTAAGAATGGATTTCCACCCTTGAATCAATCCTAATTGAATATCAACACTAATGCGGTGTACTGAGATGCACCAGATCAATTCCCATGATAAGCATAATTCATGGGTGGATGTGAAATTTAAAATGATTAAGGGTCGACATCCATTCTTATGCTTCTCATCTTAACTCTTATTCTCACATGATCCTTCGCCTTGGGGTATATATAACCATGCCATTATCATTAACATGCATTCATTATTCATACACATAGTTATCGGTAGTCCATCGTTTTAGTCAGGGAAATGTTTTGCCATATTCTTCGAAGCACCTTCGTGCTTTATTGTCCATTTTAAGTTTAGTTTTTAGCCATTATGTGCCAAATGTTTAACGGTAAAAGTCACTATTTTACTTACCTTATCAAGTAACATTCTTGGTCATTAAAATAGATTGTTGGTAAACATCTTTCACTCAATAAGCGCTTACTAGGTAAGAATCTTCTCCCACATTTACCTGGTAAGATTATCATGCTTACCCAGTAAGGTAAGTGACACCCGGTAATCATTTGGTAAACAACCCCTTCTGTAATTAATTAAAATAGTTGTGCATCAGTGCAATCTAGCAGGATGCAAATTTTATTGTAAACCAAGAATAAAAAATTAATATAATTCCTCACTAGAAAAGAAAATACAAGATTTATAGACTATTATGCCAATAAATTACAAAACATGGTTAATAATCGAAAGCGTTTGTATTTTCTTCGTGTTATATCATTATATCGAGTTACTTTAAACACGAAACTTATTAGTGATCTTGTGGCTTTCCTAACTCGTTTATACTTCCAAACATGCCTTCACAATAAAAGATTTCAATCCATTCTTGCACCTTAATTTCGTGCATAAACCAACCCACCCCCAAAACACCACCATAAAACGACCCCAAAAATCTTGCCCAAATTTGTTTTATGTTTTTCTAAATTATGTTGGATTAATGTCTTTAGGGTTATTCAGGTAAATGACCTCCTCACAAGTTTTTTTTTAAATCGACAATGTTCTAACAAGTTTTTAGACATTCTTTAAGCAATGACATTATCAAACATGTCACAAGATTAATAAAAGATATTGTCACAGAAAGTCATTTAAGCAATATATCCCTTATATCCATTACATATTTGAGCATATATACTAATGAGTTGGGTTCTGATGAGAAGAAGAGTTAAGATGAGAAGTATAAGAAGAGATCTCCACCCTTAGATGCACATTAGGATGAGATGCACCAAATCAATCCCGTATTAAGCACTATTCATGGGTGGATTTGAGATTAAAGATAAATGCATTTATCAAATTCAAAATGGATTCAGTCGCAGAAATGCTCGGATGTGATCAATTTTTCGTAACCTTATATTATCTAAGGAGGTTCTACCCCGTGGAAATGTTCTTTGAGGGTGCGTTTGGTACGCTGAACATGGTGGGATAGGACATGACATGACAGAACACATTTGTCCCATGTTTGGCAATGTGGAACACGTGTGTCCCTTCTAACCCCCCCCCCCCTCTAGAACTAAGTAGAACAAGGAATCATTTGACCAATATACCCCTAAAATTACAAAATCTAAACTCCTTTCATTAGATGTCCGCCTCCAGCCTCTTTGCTCGTCTCCTTCATCAAATCGATCAGTCCACCTCCAGCCTCTTTGCTCATCTCATTCATCAAATCGATCTCTCATCTACTGGTCTCCTTCATCAAATCGATCTCTCCTCTACTCCTCTACTCGTCTCCTTCATCAGGTAATGGTTTGCTACTGATTTGTTTAATCATCTCATTCATCAGCTTAATGGTTTGCTATTGATTTGTTTAATGGTTTGCTACCTAAACTTGTCTCCTTCATGATTTTTGATCAATGTGTATATAGAAATCTATTGGTTTAAGTCCATCAATTTTGGTCACGATTTTTTATCATGGGTTTCGGTCATTGTATATATAGAAATCGATTGGTTTAAGACCATCGATTTTGCTTTAAGACCATCGATTTTAGTTCAAGATCATCAATTTTGGTCGATTGGTTTAAGACCATATATTTAGGTTTAAGACCATCGATTTTGGTCGAATAGTTCATGTCACTTTGTTTAAGACCATCGATTTTGAGGTATTGGTTTAAGACCATCGATTTTGGTTGAATAGTTCATGTCACTTTGTTTTCAGACCATCGATTTTGGTCGAATAGTTCATGTCACTTTGTTTAAGACCATCAATTTTGAAGTATTGGTTTAAGACATCGGTTTTGGTAGAACACTTCATGTCACTTTGTTTTAAGACCATCGATTTTGAAGTATTGGTCACTATTTTTAGCTTACTTCCATTTATTTTTCTTCATGTATATATGAATTTTGTTACAACCAATTTATGTTTTTAGACCATCTTGTCTCATTTTGTGATTCATTTGATTCTTGTTATTCTTGTGATTTATGTATATATTAGAACACATTTTACATTTAGAACATATATAAAAAATATTTCCATTTGATTTTGTTTTTTTTCTTCTTTAGAATGGATCACAACCATCTAATTGTAGTTGTTAAAGTGTTGAAAGCTTACATCGACTTGCTCATACTTTTGGACCAATTTTGCGAATTAGTTAATTGAATATGAACAAGCACATCTTCGGAGGAAAACTTTAAGACAAAGAACATTCACTAGATTTCAGATTAGATCGATAGAAATCCAACGCATCACACGTGAAAGTGACATCATTTGTGTAAATGAGTTGCGATTAGATAGGAATGCATTTGTTATTTTGTGTGAGTTGCTAAAAACACGTAGTAGACTATTAGATGATGGTAATGTGACAATTGAAGAACAAGTTGCTACGTTTATAAACATATTAGCACATCACACCAAAAATATATGTCTTCAAGTTAGATTTTATAGGTCGGGGGAAACAATAAGTAGGTATGTTCATCGATTTTTAAGTGCTTTACTGCGATTGCAAGACATTTTTTTGTCAAACCAACCGCTATAGAGGATGATCGTATCGACAGAAGATGGAAATGGTTTAAGATAATCATTGTTAACTTCTCTCATTGTTTATAGTATAAAACATTTACCATTTAGCTAAAATCAAGTTATTTTGTTTATAGGGTTGTCTAGGAGCAATAGATGGAACATATATTTAAGTGATTGTACCTGAGTCCGATAAACCAAGATACCGAACAAGAAAGGGTCATATTGCGATTAATGTATTAGGTGCATGCACTCGGGACATGAAATTTATATATGTTTTATCCAGTTGGGAAGGTCCATCTACCGATTCTAGAGTACTACGAGATGCAGTTACAAGGAATAATGGTTTAAAGGTCCCATTGGGTAATTACTATTTGGCTTATGCAGGATATGTCAATCGTAATGGATTTTGGCACCATATAAAGGTACTAGGTATCATTTACGAGAATGGGAAAACATTGGTCATGCACCTACAAATAAGGAAGAATATATTAACATGACAAACTATGAATATCATAGAAAGGTGTTTTGGTATTTTGAAGAAACGTTGGGCCATATTACGAAGTCCTTCTTTCTATCCAATAAAAGTTCAAGGAAGAATGGTCATAGTATGTGCTTTGCTATATAATTTTATTAGGATGTACATGATTCTTGATCTAGAGGAAAACAAGACACTCACATTAGAAGATATGCCTATCGAGGAAGAGAAGTCGAATCCAATGATGATTTTGAATCTATTAATGTTGTTGAATCAAGTAATAAGTGGACTCAATGGAGAGATGACATAGTGCAAGAGATGTTTCAATTGTGGATGTCAAGTAGATGAGTGGACTCAATGTATTGTTTAATTACTATATTTGAATTTTAAAATGGTATCGTAATGTATTGTTTTATTACTAATGTTGAAAGTTAAAATGTTATTGTAATGTATTGTTTTATAACTATTGTTGAGTTTTTAAAATGCTTATTATAACGTATTTTTTTATTACTATTGTTACATTTTAATTTTGGATTTAAAAGATGGCGGACAGACGTAATTGGAGTATCCAAGAAGAAGATGTATTGATTAGCATTCTACAAAAGATCATAGTTGCCAATGGTAGGAGTGATAATGGGTGTTTTCGGACTGACACATATTAGCAAATCGTCTTAAAGATGTGTGAAAAGATCTTGGGCCTCAATATAACATCGAAACATATCCAAAACAAAATGAAGCGGCTCAAAGTTAAATATTCAGCCGCTTATGACATGTTATATACAAGTGGTTTCGGTTGGAATGATGTGCATCAATGCGTAACAGTGGATGCTCAAGTGTTAGAGGAATACTTAAAAGTAATGATTATATTTTTTATGTGATTATTGATACTTAATTTCATATAAATAGCGATTAACATATGTATATTTATGCATTGTTTTTTTTATAGGAACATCCAAGTAAAAACTATATTGCCAACAAACCGTTTCCCCAATATGAGTGATTAAAAATGATATTTGGAAAAGATCGAGCTACATGATCGATGGCGGAATCTGGCACAAATGCATTGGAGTACATCAATCTAGAAAATGAAGTCGATGCTGAGACCGAAGAATTGAACGTGTCTTTGTCTACTCCTTCTAATGGCGCTTCTGCATCCTCCATTCCACAAAATGTAGAAGCATTATCCAAAAAAAGAAAGAGAAAAATTGGTGTTTCTGAAGATGCAATCAAGATGATTGAAAAGGGGTTGCAATCGTTATTCGAGGAAATGGATAAGTTGGTATCGATTGTTGGTACTTCGGGTTTACAAAGTATGCCCGATGAGTTAAGCAACATGGGTTTTGATGGTGACCAGGTTATTGCTATTAACATGTATTTTGCAGATAACGTGATTCAACTACGTCTTTGGAATGACATTAATGCTACTTTCAAGCCAAGATTTGTGAAGACCATCTTAAAAAAGTTAGATATGTGTTGTTAATTGGTAAACATTTGATTTTTTGTGTTTAGATCTTTTGGTACACAATAGAGAACTTCTATATTTAGGTCTTTTGATACCCTATAATAAAATTTCAACTTTTATGTTGGTAAACATAGTGTTCAAATCTTTTGATTTATAAATGTGAGTTTTTAATTAATATTTAATTTAGATTGATTATTTAGTGAAAAAACACTAAACAACTCATTGAAGTTAAATTGGTCATTATAACCAGTTATGTCATGTCTTACCAAACACCAAACAACATTTCTATCATGTCCTGTTTGCATACCAAACGCACTCTGATGGAACTTTAGCTTTAAACCAAGAAACCACCGGTTTTGCTTGGTGGGCCAGGAATGCCCGGCTTATCAATTTATCCGGTAAACTACTAGAGGCTCATGTAGATCAAATGATCCAAATTCCTTCTTACACTTCTAAGCCTTCTCACACGATCCTTTGCCATATACCAATTCCTTAGACAATATCAAATGACATTCCTACCGAAAAAGAAATCCACCTGAAGATCAGAAGAAGATAAGATGCATACGAATACAATCTAAACCGAATATTTACATAATCATTACTTATTTTTCCATATGCATACCATTTAGATATTAATATGCAAGAACAATTGCATACAGTAAGCAAACAATACCAAATCAAACACAAATACAAGTTTTCTTATAGGTTTACAATAGACTATCGATTTTAACCGAAATACATTGTAGATAATTCCAAGCCACTAAGCAGCATCGTCTTCAACAGGCACCCCGTCATCGTCAACGGTGTTGACTCGTTCACATTCATCGATCCATTCACTATATCTGCATGTTTCGACTTTCTCAAATGAGAGAGAGGGAGTGGGATCAAGGAGCATAAAGAGAGTTCTGTGTTGAGTACACTTACATGTCAATTGCCTCTGTCAAAGCTGCAGCCACAAAAAGCAAACAGCGATTAGTAGTGACACGTTTCTAACTAGCAGGGCCGTCCCTGGGGGAGGGCAACACGGGCGTACGCCCAGGGCCCAAAAATATCAGGGGCCCAAATTTCTCCTTAAAATATATAGTAGTCTAAAAGAATTTAATAAATTAACGAAACCAAAAAATTGTAGCATATAATAAGAGAGAAAAATAATTTAATAGATAATAAGGGCCCAAAAATATATCAACTAATTACATTGGAGAAGAAAATAAAAAAAAATTAATTGGTCATTCATTATATGTTATTGTTTATTGCCCCTCTAATTTTATTTTTATCTCCACCAAGGTCCAATGATATTGGCTATTGCTATCTCTATATGCTTCACTATTTTCGTGCTTCAACAATTCAACATTAGATAGTTTTATCAATTTCTATTTTTATTGACTATTGCTATTTGGTTATGCTGTTCTAATTGTTTTTGTTGACTATTGTTATCTATTTTTGCTTCTACATAAAATATTTTACTTTTTTTTAGACAATTAATCTATTGTTCTTATGATTTATGACGTGTTTCATGGTTTTGTGATTAATCAATAAATTTTTTCTACTAGATGTATTTTGTAATGTCCCTTATATATGTCATGTTCCATAAACTTTTAATATTAAGATCTTATTTTAGTTGAGCAAAAAAAGAAGGAAATAGAAATTAAATATTTTCATCAATTGTTTGACTTATGTATCTTTCATTGGGATTCCACTACACCACAAGATTCTATTTAAGTGTTCAAACAATCATTTGTTGAGCTTGCATATTATATGTTTAATTCATTATTTATTTTTACTAGATTTTAATAGATCATCTTTTCTTTCATATTCTTATTGATCTTCATTTGTCTACTTGTTTATAAGACTTTGATAATCTTCTTTATTATTGATCTCTCATTGACCTCACAATTATTTCATTAACACGAATTCTCTTTTTTGTATCAAAATAACACATATTTTTTGTTATAAAGTAAAAATTTCTTACGTTTTATAAAAATTTATCAACCATAGTTTATATACTATTGGTTTAAAATTACCTAATAAAAAGTATGTAAATTTAAATACTCTCTTATATATGTATAATAAAGATAAATAAGATTTCTTTACTCTGTAAATTATTAGCATTTTTTATACTCAATTTTATACTAATGAAAAACATTTATTGAATTTTTTTTCCGTACTTACTGAAGGTCACTACAAGAAAAGTGAGATTTGACGATGCGCCTTTTAGCGATGACATGTGTCACAAGTTATAACGACGACATGTTGTTATATACTATTTCTAATGATAAACGGACTTTTAGTGACAACAAAAGTGGTTGCTAAAAGCCTTGTTTTTTGCAGTGGGGCCCCTATTTTTATGTTCGCCCAGGGCCTAAAAAATGTCAGGAACGGGCCTGCTAACTAGTCTCATTTGGTAAAAACTATTTGATAACTACATGACAATGTAAAATAATCTAAAAGCATCAAAATGGAAGGCATTTATGTAAAATATAAAATAGCTTAATTGGAGAAAGAAGAAAAGAAAACCAATAAGCTATCTGAAGTAGTTACTCAGAAAAAAGCTAGCTTATAACTTACGAAACAGGACTTTTTCAATAAGCTTATGGGTAACAAATATGGCCTAAGAAATGATAAAAAGATGTTTGAAAGAGAATGGAATAGAATATTTGTTCCAAAAGTTATGGAAGCCAAACATGAACTATTGGCTTCATCACCAAAACACTTGGATGAAGGGATAAGAAATAAATGATTACCACGAAAATGATTCCAGCAGAGAAATTGTAAGAAAAAACCAAAGTATGCAAAATAATAAAAACGTCATACATAGCATTTAATAATCATGTATAAAAAAATTAATATCAACTACACAAAAATCATCAAACGACTGAGATGTTAGCATTTTGTTGGTCAAAATGTCTTTGTCCCAATTGACCATTCATGTTTGTTAGTTTGATCAAAAAATCAAATGAAAATGATGTTAATGGATATCATCCTAGAAGTGTGTCATTAACAAATCTTTATGTTCCCGTGTTAGTTGATAAAAATGTGAAAATATAGTGATGCGTTTGTTGATTCTGCAAGCAGAAGTTAAAATATTTTGCAAGTGATAAAGAAAACTAGATGTGGTTTCTGACCCGGGAAAGGAAGGCAGCAATATTTCTTGCTCAGTAATTAGATATCTCTCCCAGAAATAAAGCACAAAGATGTGAATAGATCTCCATTGAATACCTGTGACGGTTGTGCTGAAGCTCTCCTGGCAAATCCGACAAGATGCCTCACCAATGAAATTCTTCATATCACTGAAATTAGACATGCAAGCTCAATCAAGCACACCCATGATCATAATAAATCTCTACGAGCAATACAAAATAGTCCATCTCCTAAGCAAGAAGCCGTTCATATTGATCATAGCTTCACAAGTTAGATTCAAGAAGAATGGAAAATACAAGGTCATGTCTAGAAATAAATGTGTGACGTACTCGACCACCAGTTTGCCAACATGCTAAACTAAAAGTCCCAATAAAGAACAAATGCTTACATGCGACATTCAACACTAGAGCCGTGATTGCAGAAGGGACAACTAAAAACCGTGTCAAGTTTGTCCATCCGCTTCCTAGGAGCAGGCTTCGCTCTTGACTTCCTCTTACCCATAATTTAAGTCGCTTTCCTAAAAGCAAGAGTATCAACAAATGAGAAGTTACAGCTTTATTATGAGAGAACATATAACAGAATTATTACGACTTGAAAGTAATGTGTAAAGCTCTTCTCATGAGAAACATTAAATCAGGTCAAATCTTGAATGTGTGCCATAGCTGCAACAGATAGACCCTCACCTTCCAACACCCAATGTAAAAAAAGATAAAAGAAAGGAAAGAAGAATAAAGTAAGAAACAAGAAGCCAATGCATTCTGGTTTAAATGAATTCAACAAGTAGTAACCGTATATTCCTACATGTCAAGTATTAACATTAAAACAAGTCTAGCAAAAATATTAAAACAAGTATAGCAATAATATTAACTAATTATGTCAAGTGCTGCAGCAAGTCCTATAGCAAGATGTAGAAAACGAACAAAGAAAGCAAGTAACATTCCACTTCATACAGGAGAGAACTAATTAAGACAGTGTGATATACATCCAACCTAGATAAGTCTAGCAAGTGTCCTAACTTGTCAGCTATAATGTCATGCGTAAGAGAAACCATTGTGTCAGTTCAGCAAAGTTACATAGGTTATCTTATGTGTATTAAACTGACATGGAAACCATCATGTGAATCGTTTAAAATTTTATGTCACAACAAAGTAACACTTTTGTTAACGAAATGCTTCAAATACACCAAGATATGAGATAGGAAGGTTACAAAGAACCATACAGATACTATGAAAAAGAACAACGGTCAAGCAACAATACTGAGACAAATGTACTGCACAATATGGTGATAAGAAGATCCCAAAGCCATAACCAGACAGACCTTTGTAAGGTGGAGTCACTGAGATATGTGGCTCTGGCACCTGAGAGGATTTAAAAAAAAGAACTAGAAAACTACATCTAGTAGAGATTATTACATTGTGCATAAGATTTCAAGTAAACTACTAGAAAACTATATCACTTTAAATTGAGATGATCTCAATGTGCATAAGATTTTAAGTAAACACATAATTTCTATACTTGCAAACTTTGAATGCAGATATAAATCAATAACTGGCACAAAGATGGACAATATCGACTCATACTTTGTCCCTTCAACATGTACCTAGATGAACTCATGAACCCATTTTCTCCTCTCACATATTTACCAAAATATCCAATACATACATGGACTTGTGGTAACAGTTGCTGTATGTGTTAATTGTACTTCAATTACTTAGTACTAGTTCCATGAGGTGCTTGATAGTGAAGGCTTCATCTTAACATAAAGAGGTAATCAACATAAAAAAGAAATTCCATTCTAGATTCTGTGAAGCAGAGCCTCAAGGATCTATGTCTATTTCATTCAATGTGAACTTAAGCCATTTCTACTTCTTGCAAAGTAAGGTGAGAAAGAATCAGACCGCATCCAGGGGTTACCAAGTGGGATGTACCCTCGTTTCTCTAGAATCCCAATCGAAACCCCAAAGAATTTAATTTTATTGCAGTCCATATTACATGGTTCCTCAACTCGAATTTCATTCTGCCATCGCTAGAGGGCAACGATATGCATTAAGCCATTAATTCAATACATACTTCCAATTTTTCCCATATTCTGATGAAAAAAAATTGTACAGATAATTTGAGCGATGAAGAGACGAACAGATCCTCAGCCCCAACACGATAAGCTTTGGCAGTAATAAGCTGTTTTCGATAAAAAGAAAAAATTGTTTCAAACAAAGTAACCTAAAGATCCAAATAAAAGAATCGGCGATCCTTTCACAATCAAATAACAAAATTTGGAGTAAATAGATGCACCATGTACCACAAAACAAACAAACGAAGAATTTTCTTTGAGATAATTCGAACGAACACCCAACCAGATTGAACCAATTGAAACTGAAAGACGAATAATTGTGCCCTAGAAAATATATTGCTAATGGAGTTGAGTTGATTGAGAAAATTGAGAGGGGAACCAACCTGATGAAATCGAATCAAACCGAGAGACGAATAAACTTGCTGCAGAAAAGACGAAAAAGAATCGTAGTAGAAACCCTAGTTTGTATAGGCAAGTAGACTTGTAAAAATGGAAGTCGGTTTCTGTTCATATGCGAGCGGTCGAGTGGGGATGGAAAAGGAAACCATGACCCGTGGTATAACCCGAATCCGACCAATTATCTATTATACATTTATTAGTTGTGTACCCGTGCAATGTGGCAGGAGCCATAAATTTTAACGATTTTGAATATCCACCGGTTTTATAAGATAAGATTTAACGATAATATAGGTTACATTTGGTCTTTACATATTAATACAATTTGAATAAATAAGAGTTATGGTTCCAATTACAGACTATCGATGAAAAAAATTGTATGACAGTTTAAAATCCAATATATTTAAAATCCAACATATTTAAACGACTCCACAAATGTATTCGATTTACACCAAGAGCAAAGAACCAAGAAACTTGAGTTTTAAGWTAARCACTCAAACCAATAAAGAAAACTACAAATTTGACAGATCATAAGTCATGAAAAGACAAAAAAAAATGGGTTTTAGAATGAAATTTCAACTGCTTACCCTCTTTTTTGTCCAGAAACTCAGATTAAGGTTGAATTAATACATATATATATATATATAT